TGCTGGGTTTGAACTAATCCAACCATGGACTTTAATGTCTTTGTGATCAGTTGAGTATTGATATTTGTCATCGACCTACAATGATATTACGAAAAGACTTAGAGGTTGTTTGGTCTCGGGGATTTATTTTTTGATTCGAATCATGGTTCGTTATTTGTTACAGTATTTTTTCTCACAAAAAATATATGTAAATCAAAAATAGTTCTAATCACATGATTCTAATTCATTAACCAAACGTCTCCTTAGAAATTGTAGGCTCAAATATACTCGAATAAATTCAGAAAAGAAATTTGTAAATTTAACAAGCTATCTAGTAGTAGATAGATTAAAAGGATAATTACTAGAAAAAATAAGTGATTAAACTGGGAAAAAAAATACATTACCTCTCCTTTAAATTCATGTTTCGAAGGCTTGGTCAAGAGAACAGCTTCTGGATAAGCAAGTTTCTCGCCAGACGTACGATCACTTGCTGATGGCATTGTTCTTTGTATGTCGTCCGATATTGCCATGTATTGAAATCTGGCCATTGATTAAAAATTTCATTTCAACTGATATTTAACAGGCCCATTTAGAGGTTTTTTAGAAAGAGAAAGTTTTAAAATTTGTTTTTGTACTAAATTTATATCGTAAGAAATTTTACTATACTTGTTTTGTTGAAGCTTGAAAACATCCCGAACCACACTAATCTGCGCTGCTGGGGCTTCTTTAGGGTGCTCTAATATTGCATATGTATAAAACCCCGGATAGTCACGCAACATTATATATCTGCAATATAAGACTTGTGTATGAGAATTTAATTTAATTGTAATGATTTATTTTTTGATAAATACTTTACATATTGATTTGAAGTTATATATTGATCAGGAAAAGATCGAGACTTGAATGATACCTTTTGTCCACATTAATAGGAAATGAATGGGAGGAATCATTCCATCTTTTAGTGAATGAAATTTCTATTTGGTTCTCATCTTCGTTTATAATCTCAAACTTTGTTCCTTCTAATCTGCAAATAAGTTCAATTGGATAAAAACCATTTTAAATTTTTGAAAAAAAATTGAATAAAAGGAACAAAACTTTAGCCTAAAAATAAATAAAGTACCCTTTCGCTATTGCCTATGAAAATTTAAAATTTTACCTATCATAATGGTCAGCAATATTGCTCGTTATGTCATCACCCCATTCTATGTCCCAGTACCTATAACGTATAAAAATTAATGTATAATGAAAAATCATCAAAAGAAGTTAAATATATGGATATATGAAGAAAAGTGTAAAATATTTTCATTATACGATATATAAATTCAAAAGAAATCTTTAAGAAAAGGGATGAGAATACGACACATACCCTCTGTTACTTTTTTTGTTATGAATCTCAAGCAAGTTAGTAATGCCATTGTACTTAATTCCAATAACATCACCGCCGGGATTCGAAAAACTAAGTTCAACAAGGCCATTGTCCAAGATCACCACCTGAAATATCATTTATTGATATTAGCCAAAGAATTAATCTACCTCACTATACCTAGCTAGTGTACATATGTTAATGAGAACATACACACAATTCTGTAGCGGAAAGAAAATAATAATAATAATAAGATTTACACCATAAAAGGAGAGTTAATTTATTGATGTTTAGCATCAATTTATTGTCGTTGTCGTTGTTGTTATTGTTATTGTGTTATATTATAGTATTTATTTATTATTATTATTATATGGATAGGTTTATTTAGCGGTGACTATACGAAGATACCATTGACACGAAATTGACTCGAATTGATTTGATTTATTATTTTTTATTTAAATATATACAAATTTTTAACAAATTTTTTTTATTTAATTTGAATAACATGAAAAATATAAGATTTGCAACCATTAACAACGTAAAATATAGATAAATGGACTAAGTGAATAAATTAACACTCAAATAGTTTATATTATTACTGAAACAATATTATCCCTAGTAGTACTTAACGTTTTGCAACTGACCACTGAAAAAAAAAAAATAAATAAATCAATTATACCTTTTGTCCATGCTTCTGAGTTTGTACACTGATCTTGGGGGTGGATACTAATTCCCGGCCCCTAATATCCCTTAGAACTCTTCTGCAATCAAATATATATGGAACGAGTAACAATTTAAGATGTATATCAAACGTAAAGAATATTGATTACACATTTATTAGAAAATAAAAAACATAAGCTAATAATTATATATATTTATTAATGTCTCATAAACGGAAACATAAACTATATATTGTATTTAAGACTAATTAAGAAGATCAGAGGGACAAAAGGGGAGAAGCAAAAGTTGAGCAAGAAGAACCTGACTGGTCTTGTTTCTGATTCTGAACGACCAGAAATCAACAGAAACAACGTTAAACCCATCACCAACAACCCAAGAAGCCATGCACATCGCTTTTTCCAAGTTGAGTTCTCCATCTTCAAGTGTGCAAATAAAAGCTGAAAGACCAACTACGTGTATATATAATATTAAAACCATATCTATATATATATAAATATATTTCCAAGTTTTGTTTTGTTAGTATGTATAAAAGTTGATTGTATTAAGGTCATTTGAAGAAAGCGTATATTTTATCTTGTAGTCAAACAGAAACTGGTTCATGGGAATAGGGTTTTGCATCTTCGATCATATAAAGCATGGAAATATAATATTAAAACGACAACACTGTATCTTGTGAAGAGAAGTAAAAGGGGTAAAGAAACAATTTTATTTCTGACATTCAAAAACGAATTAGGATGAATATACGTACCGATAGGTTACTGAAAAATTTCACGTTGTTTCAACAGCGGAAGTATTAATGAAAGCGAAAGAAAGCTATAAAGACTTGAAGGGCTAATTTTTTTTTTTTTGTTTTTTCCTGAAAACGAGATGTGAATTGTATGAAGTGAATGAGCTGATTAAGGCCTTTAAATAAAAGAAGAAAGAGTACCAAGTTTTTATAAGTGTTAGAAGTTGAGTAAGAATCGAACTCTAAATTACTTTTTTATGCGA